TTTTGAACAAGAATAGACTAATGAGTTCCACTATCGCTTTTTTAAACTTCTTTTTGGCAAAACAAACTCAAAAATCAATATTGAATGCGTGTGCACTGTCTTTGAAAACACAAATGTCGCTATTTTTGTTTTTCGAGTATACACTTACTTCGAACCCTGTAACTACAGTTTTAAAACAGTTTAGAATTTTAAAGTCACATATTTTGAACAAGAATATACTAATGAGTTCCACTATCGCTTTTTTAAACTTCTTTTTTCGTTAATAAGGCTAAAAATAATCAATGACTGTGTGCATACTATTTTTGACAACACAAATGTCGCCAGATTTGTTTGCGAAGTATGCACTTCATATTTCAAACCCTGCAACTATAGTGTTAAACAGTTTAGGTTTTTAAAATTACCTATTTTGAACAAGCACGAGTTCCACTACCGTTCTTTACTTCTTTTTTGGTCAAACAAACCCAAAAATCATCATTGAATCAATGCGTGCGTACTGTTTTTGACAACACAAATGTCGCCATTGCCCTGGTGTTTATGTGCATGGGTACGTACTGTATTAATATACTTCCAATAAAGTTCAAACGATTTTTACATTAACTTGACACCTCTTATTCAAATTAAACTTTAACTAAGTCAGAATATGTGACTTTAAAATCCTAAACTGTTTTAAAACTGTAGTTACAGGGTTCGAAGTAAGTGTATACTCGAAAAACAAAAAATAGCGACATTTGTGTTTTCAAAGACAGTGCACACGCATTCAATATTGATTTTTGAGTTTGTTTTGCCAAAAAGAAGCTTAAAAAAGCGATAGTGGAACTCATTAGTCTATTCTTGTTCAAAATATGTAACCTTAAAATCCCAAACTCTTTTAAAACTGTAGTTACAGGGTTCGGATTTAGAACAACAAAAATTGACATATTTTCGTAGTCGCGCAAGGTGAGCTGTTAAAAAAAATATTTATTTCAAAATTTGTATATCGCAGGGATTTGTGAACGTCCTAGTGGAATCAACATTACATATGAGAGTATAACTATATGCCTTAGCAGACAAGTGACAGCTTTTTCGCCAAGTTCCAGGGTTCGAAATATAACCACACAGAGAGAGATGTAATATACGTGCGTAATTGTTTTGTCAACGTTGTGAAAAACCGAAGTTATAATGATTGTTTTTATAGGGAAAATTAAAAATATACACAACCTTGGCATATATATGCTTATATATATGCTTATATATTATGCCTTTGCATATATATGCTTTTGGTACCGCCAAAAAATATCTTTTACCTTTGCGTTTGTTAAAAAAAAGGGAGAAAATATATTAGTCTAGGACCTGTATATGAGTTTGTATGCATTTCATTTAGGACAGATAATCTCAACTGTTTTAGGGTAAGTTGACCATGACGGTCAACATGGTAACGCTGCCCGAACCCCAATCCGGGGCGAAACGTCCGAAACTGACCACACCCAAAAACGACGCTTTCGCCATACTGCTATCTACCAAACCATAAAAGCTTTGGCTATTCTGAGGTGTTTCTATGGTTCAGAGATGGTACTTCTGGGGATGGTCATTGGTAAGTGTGAAATGCCTAGCACTAATATTTCACAAGAAAATGGCCATGCAATAATCATAGTTAAACGTCAATTTGTGGCTTGCAAATTCAGATAAACAGCAGTGGACTTACATTATCTTTTTCCCTAAATCTTTTTGATAGACACATAAATGGTACTTATTTAAATATATTATCACTGGTTTGGTGTAAAATAGTTAATATTTTCTGACCGAAATAATAATTCGAAATGTGCCTACCTCCTGCAAATGGACGTATTTGGCCAAGTTCTCCACTTTACTCCGCTGTTTATCGGCGATCTCGTCGACATCCTACAAAAAATGTAAATCATCTCAGACATAATGGTATCAAGAACATTTTAAACAAGTTTCAACTTGGTTTCAAGTAGATCATACCTGTTTAACCATCGACAAGGTAAATCCACAACTTTGTCCAAATTTGGCGCCATTTTGTCATCCCATGTCGCTTGTTAACAATTCAGCCTTGTTACTCTTCCATCCAAGCCATTTCCATTCCACTAATAATAAATTTAACCCTTTATAACAGGAGGAAACTAAAAAATCTAAACAAAATATAAGAAATACGCCTTTTTATCACCATGTAAAATTTTGCTCACGAGTCTTTCAAAACATTCCGTACAAATATCGCGTAACAAAGTAACAGGGACGTGACAGGAGAGGGTGAATTATTTCACGAAGATAGAAGAAGGCTGCGTGAAATAGACTAAAAGCTAAATACAATCATACAAATGTTTGTTTTATTTCTTGTAGCGACAAATATATACATATTATTATTTATTAATATGAAAAAGTCATACAAATTAAATGTTGATTGTTGGTTTTACAGTACCATACTGTGTGGGCTTTCCTTCCATTTTTCAAGTCTCTACCCCCCCTGTCACATCCATGTTGCTAAACCACGCGAGATTTGTACGGAATGTTTTGAAGGACTCGTAAACAACATTTTACATGGTGATAAAATGGCGTATTTCTTGTATTTTGTTTAGATTTTTTAGTTTCCTCCTGTTATAAAGGGTTAAATTTATTATTAGTGGAATGGAAATGGCTTGGATGGAAGAGTAACAAGGCTGAATTGTTAACAAGCGACATGGGATGACAAAATGGCGCCGAATTTGGACAAAGTTGTGGATTTACCTTGTCGATGGTTAAACAGGTATGATCTACTTGAAACCAAGTTGAAACTTGTTTAAAATGTTCTTGATACCATTATGTCTGAGACGATTTACATTTTTTGTAGGATGTCGACGAGATCGCCGATAAACAGCGGAGTAAAGTGGAGAACTTGGCCAAATACGTCCATTTGCAGGAGGTAGGCACATTTCGAATTATTATTTCGGTCAGAAAATATTAACTATTTTACACCAAACCAGTGATAATATATTTAAATAAGTACCATTTATGTGTCTATCAAAAAGATTTAGGGAAAAAGATAATGTAAGTCCACTGCTGTTTATCTGAATTTGCAAGCCACAAATTGACGTTTAACTATGATTATTGCATGGCCATTTTCTTGTGAAATATTAGTGCTAGGCATTTCACACTTACCAATGACCACCCCCAAAAGTACCATCTCTGAACCATATAAGCACCTCAGAATAGCCAAAGCTTTTATGGTTTGGTAGATAGTAGCAGAATGGCGAAAGCGTCGTTTTTGGGTGTGGTCAGTTTTGGACGTTTCGCCCCGGATTGGGGTTCGGGCAGCGTTACCATGTTGACCGTCATGGTCAACTTACCCTAAAACAGTTCAGATTATCTGTCCTAAATGAAATGCATACAAACTCATATACAGGTCCTAGACTATATGCAAAATCTACATTTTTTAAACTTTTTTACAGGCCAGTTGCCACGGTAACTGATAAATTGATACGTGCTAGCCCGTATCACGGATGCCGCGTTCGCGTCATAGCGTTTTGCCTAGCGTTTCCAGTGCATTCCTTTGATTGTCTATGATGCCAGTGTCATGGTCAGTAATTTTTCTTGAATAAATAAAATTTCTATGTATTGAAACTACGTCTATGAATACAAATTGCAAACTTTGTAGGTGATGCCGATCTGAAAAATACAACAAGAACTTTGACGTTTCGAGCGAATGCTCTTCGTGTGGAGGGTATTGGCGTGAACTACTAACTTTTATCATCTACTGAGTTCGCAGTTTGTATTTTTCGCTACTGACAGTAGTTGGTGTTTAATTTTAATCGTGTAACCACCATTGGCGCGATTTTTTTTATTTGGCCGCCATATTGGTATTTTCCATGCAGACGCGGATTTGTCAGCGCCCTCTAGAGCGCAAGGTATATTTTTTATGGCGGTAGGAGTATGAATGTTGACTATTTTTCGTTTTCAAACCATTCTTATTCGCCAAAACAAATTTTGTAGGGCGAGTTACCACCGTCGAAATCAAAAGGTGTCAGATTTAACATTACTGGGTCTTTGACGGCCAAATTTGAAAAAATCTTGGACTTCGGCAAGCAATTTCTCCTTATATCCGGCTTACATAGTTGGACCGAGATATTTTGGGAACTTTCTTATAAACACAAGATACTTTCCAACTTGTTTCGGGGCTGGAGTTCCCCTTTAATAGAAGGCTTGCCTATAGAATTATAATAAAAATACATTATTTAATAGAAGTTCCAAGATATAAATGAAAATGTATAACAATTATAGCAGCACAACATGTCCCAACAATCTGAATGTTAACATATCCATGCATTTGTAACATTAGATGTTCAAAAATGAAATACCCAAAAACCTAAGTCGCTAAGGCTAAGAAAAATGTGAAATGGAAGTTTCCAACAAATAGCTAAAAGCTTTCCTAACTAAAAAATAACTTACAATACTTTCATTCAACTATATATGTATCAATACGGGACAAATTCCATATGCCCTTGTAACAGAATTGCTACTAAAATCCTCATAAAAACTTCCTCGGGCGCTTATAATCATTAATCGGGGCGGAATACACGTCTTCTTCCCATTTTCGTTTTCTTACAGCCGGTGGGAAAGTACTGTTAAGCAACCAGTCGAACCTAGGACGTGGAAGTGGTCCATTGTACACATTCAGTGGACTTGTTCTCCAATGGCATGGGCCTGCTCCAAAGACAAAGGGCCACGGTCTTGGTGAAAATGGTCTAGTTAATGAGTTAGCTAGCATGCAAGGAAATTGGAATCTTGGACTTGGAGTGCACTGTTTGGGCCCCAAAGGATTTTGTCTCAGCATGCGTGCTCCTGGCATTGCTGAATACGGGCTAACTAACGGATTCGCTAATCTTTGTGGAGAATCGTTGACTAGAGTATTGGTTCTTGGGGATGGTCTCTGATAAGGTGAAGTCGAATGCTTTGGTACAAACCCCACAGACCGACGCCCACCAATAGAAGGGATGGAAGTTAACGACGGTCTGATGGTGCTACGGAAAAGGGAAGGGCCATTTGCTGGCAGTTCGAAATCCCATTGCACCGAGATTTCAGTGAGAAGTGAATGCGTAAGTTTCCTGTGAGCGAAACTATCCCAATGTACCCCATCATGAATTCGGTGGTCAAGATGACTGTGAAAAACATCGTAAAGATCAAGGAATAGGAAATTATCTCCGTAATCTACCATCTGATCGCGAACGTACAGATTTGCGTTTCGTACATTTTTGTCCTCCGGTCGAAAACACTGCGGAAAATGAAATGGAACACACGATGTTTGGCTACTGTCTATGACAGGTAGGGTAGCATTCCAAATAAAAATCCTCTTACTGTCATGTGGCATCACAAGGCCTATAGCCTCAAGAAGTTCGTTGATGTTCGTTTTAAACTCCGAGTTGGCATTCTTTCCATAACGACAAAGATCCCAAAGACAAGAATTCATAATTATCACGTCTGGTGGTTCAGTCTCAAATGTCGCAATAATGGATTTCATGTACTCTCCGTAACAGCGCGCAACGAAGAAGAATTTGATCTCCGTAGTTCCTTTTGTAAATTGCCGCACTTCTTTATACTTTACATTTTTTAATCCAGCCTTGCTTCCACCTTCCAAAAGTTGGTCTCCCTCGAAATTATCTTCACCCTAAATGAAAAGACACAGTTAGTAGTCTCCAGTCCCATGATTAGGAATATGACATATCTTGCGCGCAATCTGATCAAAGACCGATTGCGGTATAAAAACGTAGTTAAAGTTAACTGCAGTTAGCGTTGACTACCGTAGTTAAATCCTTAACTGTAGTTAGTTAACTATATGACTTCACTGCGTTGCACAAAACGTAGTTGATCGGATAGTTAACTAATCACGTAGTTAACTGTGCGTGGGGCTTGCGTGGGACGTTTAAACACAAAATTACATAAAGTAAGCAGTAATTAACGATCGCTGACAGGCATTTTTAACATGATTGTGGACTCGTATTTTGCAAATTGGGGGGAATTTTATTCAAAACAGTGAAAAATAAACAACAAAATAAGGAAAAACTGCCGCAAAAATCATAAAAGGAGGCAGTTTCTCCGTGAGATGCCTATACGTTAAACCAAGGTGCAACTGTTTGGCAATTGTATATCAGTGTTTCTTGGTGTAATGGACCCTACTTCGTCTTCGAGAAATCGTCCTGTGCAAAAATATATTCTGTTTTCGTAAAAACACCAAAGCGATAGCGTTTGAAGAGTTTATATTGTCAGAAAACATTCACAGGGAAGATAAAATCCAAGGTAAGCCTAAAATCCTATACATCTTAAGGTCCCTTCTACCTAATCAGGCACCGACCGTTAATTCGAGATAGTAATCTGATATATTTTATAAGTACTGTACAGTAATATGCCAGGTAACGATGGAACATTATTCGGAAAAAACGTTGCAGTTATTCATTCTGGTACAAAAAGCAGATAGCAAAAAGCAAATTTTAAGTGTAAATTAGTCAAGAAGTAGCCATAATAATTGCTACATTTGTACTCTATAAGTAGCAAACGCACATATACAATACCTTCTTCTGTAAGTCTTTGGCTTCGAGAAGCTGATTGGCTTTTAACAGGCAAACAAAATCTTTGTAAACACCTCTCTGAACTAAAAAGCGAAAGTTTGCAGTATAGTGCATATTCACGGAAACAAATAAAAAAATAAAATTGGCAATCTGTCATTGGTTGGCGTCGAATGCGTGGCAACCACGTACCCAGGGTTTCTGCACTTATTGCTTGTCAGAAACATAACCCTGGGAGAATCCAACTCAGAACGTGAGTTGATTGGTCGATACGAATACAATGAAACTATCGAACGTTATTCATTAACTGGGTGATATTTTGGCAATGAGGCTGCTATCACAAGGAGTGTATATACGAAAACTACGAAAGTTAAATACGGGTTTTTGCATGAAAATACCTTTTAAACCAAATTCTGGGCTGGTATGAATAGAGCAAAAGAACAAACGGATTATTTTTATCTGTATAGATAAACAAGAATGGCTGAATGGCGAACAAAGTAAAAAATTTAACATAAACAAAGCGAAACATTTCTTGTTCTGTCGTTCAAAAAATCCAAGTATAATAAATCTACAACTTCAACCACGCAATTCAATTAAATTTCCAAATTATCGCCAAGTTGGGAATATTGGGTGCACTGCCTCAGTGCCTCTGAGTTTGAGATTCAGTGAACATGCAAAATGTACGAGTCGACAAATTATTTAATTTTGTACCATAGATTCAGTAAAAATAAATTAGCAATTACTGCTGCTAGGTTTGATAGTAAATATATTAAATGACTAATCAAAATATTATTTCCTAGCTAGTGTGGCAGTTCTCCCCATCAGCCTACTAACCAGGTTAATTATTTCTCACCAAATATTGTTTTTATATTTTGCCCAGCAAAAGGCAAACATTTTCAGCAGGGCTTCAAATGGCTTTCTTCAGCGTGGGAGTCCAAATACATTTTCACATAATAAACACACTTTATTCACACTAGCACAGGCTCTCCTGCGATTTTTTCGGTCCCCCTTGATTAGAAATTCTGGCAACGTCACAGCTCAATTGCATTGCCAGTGGTGTTAGTCTGATCAGACAGAGTAGGTTAACAAACAAGTGTGCATTATGAGACAAGACGCCTGCTCAGGCGTTCACACTGGCCTGAAAATGGCAACTTTCGTGGTAGGGTGTAATGTATAGTAGAGAAGTACTGTAGATAGGGATACAGGAGGTCTGGACCATATAAATACAACCAATAAACACATAATATATCAAGACGCTGGCTTAGGCGTACCCTTCGACTACGGGCAACTCAACCTGGCAAGCCAGGCCATCAACATCAACCGTAAATAATGATGGGCCAATAATGGCGAAGAAATTATATAGTCCTTGATTTTTAATGCCATTATACGGCTCGTTTCAGGTGCTAAAAAGTTCATATGCATAGACGATTCTTCTAAACAATACACCAATTTGCTTCCATTTATACGATAAACTGATCCCAACCCCAAACCCTTCTCTAACCCCAACCAGTAAACGTCTAATAAACAATTTGAGAATTAAAAAAGTGGGGGGAAAAGTTGGATCTTGTTCCAAAAACAAATCGAACCGTACCACGTTTCACTTTGCCGCACGCAACGGCCACCTTGCTGAATACAATCGAAAAAATACATTTTATAGTAATATATGATAAAATGGAAAGTAATTTGGTGCAAATTAATGTAATTAGGTGCAAATCTATAATTATGCAAATGAACACAAGTGCACAACGAATGTTTTTGAGTCTACAACGTATATTTATAGTTGTTTATTAATTTAAAATGTTAAACTGTCAAACCTTTAACTTGTCTTTGGTATATTTCACTATATTGTATAAATCCGCTGGGTCCTAATTTTGGGGTTTTCGAGTCGTTACACAAAGAAAAACATTATTTCAACACGCAAGAGAGTGCAGATATGCGTATACCAATTTTTCTTACCATCTAAGTTGTGCGCAAAAACTGAACTGAATATGTCACTGGAGCACTTTACCCTTGGAGTTCGGAATTGTGCGCGTACGTACAAGTGTATGGGCTAACGAACGAAAATTGTACCACAAGCATGGCATGAGCCGGCTATTACGTAAATAAATACGAGCTTGTTACTATAGTATTTAAATCGTGGAACCGAGTAATCTATGGTATTTTGGCTTAATCGTTGCACCCTGAGCCTGCGATGCGCTAACGCAAACTCGATTTCTCGACTACGAAAAAACAGGGGGAAAAATAGGGATTTAAGACACTGGCCCTACAGGCCAGTGTAATAATCCATTGAGCACCAGTGCTCTCTTCCAACACATAAAATCATCTGCTGTTAGACAGCAGAGTAAAATAATAAAGTTGGCACATTGGGCAGAATGTAACTTAATAGGTTAAAGAGGCTGTCAAGTCCGTTCTGCTCATGCGCGTGTTCTGTTTACATTTTTTGTCTCAAACAATAGATAATTGCTCCGTCGGGCGTAGCCCGAGGGAGCTTTAAAATGGTAATTGTCTGTCTTTAGGATGTCACAAAATGAACATTTCACAGGTACATCGGTGTATTTTGCTGATACTTCTAATGGGTTATTTTGCAAGTATGCTTCAGTGACCTATATAGTTCAGTTTCAAAATGGCGGTTGCGTGGTGAGTGGGCAAATAATATTTCTGGCAATTTCGCTAAATTTTCACCGAATTGAACTGTGTTTTTCATGTTGTGTTGTACTCTGGACTTACTCTTTATGAATTAACGTATTTTTGTTGGTGCAACAGCAACGAAAGAACGAATCAGGCTGAATTAAGGCTGCTGGGTCACCAAGACTGGCAGACTCAGAGGCGCCGGAATATCGATAATTGCGGGGGCAGATATTCATATATTCGTGCTCACAGACTGTAAAAACAATCGATTTCAAAAGAAATTAATTGGGCAGAACACGAATATATGAATATCTGCCCCCGCAATTATCGATATTCCGGCGCCTCTGGGCAGACTGCAAGACAGTTGAAAGCTTATTTAATACTGGTAAGATTTTAACATGCTCCTCTGTTTCTTCTATACTTCCAAATTTTTTACGCCTATATAGGCTATATGCAGAAGGCTAAGTTCAACGGAACCTCCACAGACACAGTATTAGCAAATGGTTTGGACGTGGCCCCTTATTTATACAGTGTTATTGATGACTCAATAACACTGATAATAAGTCTTATTGATTAACACAGTGTTATTGATGACCTGCACAACATATTCTCTATGTCATCTGTGAAATTTTGCTCATTACTTTGGTTATCAGGAGGTTATCAATGGCTATGCTCTTCATTAATTATAATGATTAATATATAATGGATTGATGGTTATTGGTTATGTCCCTGAAGAATATTGGAAACTGTTACTAGTTCTGACATAAAACAAAGTGGAAATTTGATGGAACACCAGGTACTACATATATCACATTATTTCACATGCAATGATACTTATCCCAAGCCTTCTGGGAACCAGATGTGCAAGTGTGTACTATTTATACATTTGAAGTAGAACTTGTATACGATCTATAATTAATAATATATATAATGTGCATGGATGTTTCCGAAGAGGGTTAAAAGCACCAAATTGCGCACAGTAGCATCTTTTTATGAGTAGAACAACATGCAAAAGTGGGACCATCGTGAAACCGTTTTTTTTAGAGAGTTACGATGCTATTAGCATTATTTTCTATTAAATTCTACTACAACAAAAAATGTGAAATTTTGAATTCAATCGCGACAAATATAACTTGCATCATCAGAAAGCTTGCAAAAAACTACATAAAAGACTTTTAAACAGTTTTTTTATTCTTCAAATGGTTATTGCTGTAAATTAGGCACATTATCTCGCTAAAAGTCCCTAATTCATTATTCGACGTTTGAAAATGCGTTTTTAACAGTTTATAATTCGAAAACTATTTCAGAAATCAAAAAACTGTCTAAATGTCTTATATGCAGTTTTTTATAAGCTTTCTGATGATGCAAGTCATATTTGTTGTAATTGAATACAAAATTTCACATTTTTTGGCTATAATAGAATTCAATAGAAGATAATCACTAATCACCCGTTTTCAGGAGTTAGCAGCAAAATAGCGATGGCCCCACTTCAAATATCTATTAAGCAAATAAAACTACATCAATTGTAAAAGTTTGATGCTTTTAACCTCAACGGGAACTACTGATCAATAATTTTACACATATCCGCCTCACTACAAGCAATTCTGTTGCTGCCCTTTACCGACGGAGCGAACGCCTTGTGCAGGCGTCTTGTTTAATTAAAATTCCAAACAAAAAAAGTACACAGATCGGAATTTTAATTAAATTATCTATTGTTTGAAATAAAAAATGTAAACAAAACACGCGCATGACCAGAACGGACTTGACAGCCTCTTTAATGGTAAGAACTGAATGATAAACAATATTTCATAATAAACCCAAATTAGTTCAGCACCACTGGTTTTTATAATACTCACTCATATTCCAACACTAGAATGTCGATTGTTATTAATTAAATCGAGACTGGGTGATTGTCACTACTCGGCCAAGTTTATCACCTGCATGGTAATTAACAAAAGTTGGGGTTCCATCGTATATGACATATCTGTACGCTTCTAACCAGCTATCCGACCGTTTTTAATTTTCAACATTCCAAGCCATTATTCTCAAGATTTGCCAATAAGGTTTTCAAAATAAGCACAGAATTATATCATATCTCTGTTCATTTTACATTCTTCAAGTGTGTAAAAATATTAACTAATATCTTGTTCAAAACGGTCAAATCCAAGATAAACGGCAGCCAGCCATATTACCAGCAGGATTTCTAGTTTGTTGACTTCGAAATGGCCAAGGTTTTACTCGAGTATATTAAATATTTATACTTTATTGAATAGCCCCTGTATATCGCAGACCATGTTCTTTTGCCCGCCAAAGGGCTTGTTTGACGCATAATTGTATCTCTGAATTTATAGATGATGCACTTAAAGTTTAAGACGTCTTTGAAAGTCCAAAATTATCATAAACTGCAACAAATAATGCATTCTCACTCCGTAAAAATATGCCCAGTCAGTGTTTTTAGCTGGACCTACTGTTTACTTCCGCTTCTGGACACCAATGTTCTTTGGTGTTTGGTTTGGATTCTCCCAGGGCATCCGACGAGTAATACGCGCAGACCCCCTGGGTACGAGGTTGAATGCGCGGCGAAAAATTAGAAACCAATCGTACTTTATCACTGGCAATTCTGTCACTAATCAGATCTCTGATTTTTAATATACTTTTGATTCGCTTCACGAATACTAATTAAATGTGACAAAATTGGGAGGAGCTCCTTGAAACATATATGTAAATAAGGGGTAGATAGAATATAATTTGACAGAGGGGGTAATAGACGTGAGTAACAAACTTCAAATAGAAGTTCCATGACCTTTAAACTCAGTTGAGAAAAACAAGAGACAAGATGATTCAACAATAATATTTCGACTATTTCAGCATATTCAATCTAATGACGAATTTATAATAAGATCCAAAATATTACTGTTTAATCTTGAATGTCTCTTGTTTTCCCGAAATATTCAGTTCATTCAGAGTTTGGTTGCTTACTTTATTTAACGAAAATATTAGCAGTCAACAGATTACTGTAAAACCTACTTTCAATTATGGAAAATTGTTTATTAATATCAAGAAAGTACCTGAATCCCCAATAACAGCAATTTTTTTGTTAGCCAGTAACTTTTGTGCGTCATTTGTTGAGAACCAGTGAGAAGCCATCAAAATTATCACGTACGGGATGGCTAAACAAAGAAAAAAGAACTGATACCTCTCATTCAGAGATTCACGCTGTTAAAAAACCCTGATATTATCATCTAGACGACGATAGGCAACGAAAAGGTGCGTCATCTACAAATACTTGTAAGGACAGGTATAATGATCGCATTCCCAGCCTTGTGCTATTCTTGCTATTTCATCGGATAGTTAACAATAGTCCTTAATCCAGTAGCATGATTCAAGAAGTTTACACTAATGCGTATTAACAAATTATATCTAATATAAATCAAACCATCGTATACCAGGCCTTTGTCTACACTAATCTAGTCTACTATAGAACTTTGAGTTGACCAGAACTTGTAACAGTTTTGTGTTAGAGCCAACACTGACCACATAATTGTGGTCAGTGTTGGCTCTAACAACGTGTCAAGAAATGGTTAGTCAGAGGTGTCAATCATGCGGGGATGGAAGCTGGGATGCGCACTCTTATATCGTAATTTTGTACAGGGAGGACAAGTTAATATTAATATGATAATTTATCATCTCCTGATCTCCATCCCATTCCCACTTCCTAGAATGGATCGATACTCTGTTCGAATTGCAGAAACCTTTGGGCCAACAATATTATAATTATTAAATCAGAGCAACAGCTTCTTAATTGTCTTCCTGAGTTCCTGGGTCAAACCACCGCCTAGCTACAGTACGTCCCTCTTATGTTACACGCCTCAATGAATCTTTATAGAATTGTGCTTAATTCGTGCCTATAAACTGTGTTTAGATGAAAACAGTCGCCTATTTGCTGTGGTACCAGCAACTGCAGTCTTTGTTCTCTGCAGTGGTTGTTCATTGCTATATGCTTTCAACACATTAGTTAGTTTAATAGATATTTACAATATTTTGATAACTGTCTTCTGATGAAGCCATTCCGCTGGCGAGAAGACGTTTTGGACATCGATGTGTTGATGTTCACAATGAAATCAAAGGAAATATTCCAGAACATTTTGATAGATTTAGAGCGCCTCTAACTACACTCCATGGGTACAACACGAGAAACGGTAATTTGCCGATTCGTCCCAAAATATAAGAACTGATTGGGGAAAACGAGTCACATACTTTAGAACATCACAAGATTGGAACTCCCTATACCCGATAACCTTAAAAAGCTTATGTCTATTCATATATTTACCAGGAATCTTAAAAAGTTTCTGCATGGGTGACAATTAATTTTATCTAAATTATATAGTCTTACTGACTTTGTACATTTTCTCTTTAGCCGTTTTATCTTGCATGGTTTTTATTTATTTTTTTTATCTAATTTAAGCAGAGGACCTTATATAGAATACCACTTGCACAGTGAAATAGGCTTCCTCTTAAAAATTAATGTATTATTATTATTATTATTATTTTCGTTAGTTAGTTATTAGTTAGATAGTTTACTGAATAACTAACTAACTAACTAACTAACTAACTAACTAACTAACTAACTAACTAACTAACTAACTAACTAACTAACTAACTAACTAACTAACTAACTAACTAACTAACTAACTAACTAACTAACTAACTAACTAACTAACTAACTAACCAACCAACCAACTAACCAACCAACTAACTAACTAACCAACTAACTAACCAACCAACTAACTAACCAACCAACCAACTAACTAACCAACTAACTAACTAACTAACTAACTAACTAACTAACTAACTAACTAACTAACTAACTAACTAACTAACTAACTAACCAACCAACCAACCAACCAACCAACCAACCAACCAACCAACCAACCAACCAACCAACCAACCAACCAACCAACCAACCAACCAACCAACCAACCAACCAACCAACAAACCAACCAACCAACCAACCAACCAACCAACCAACCAACCAACCAACCAACCAACCAACCAACCAACCAACCAACCAACCAACCAACCAACCAACCAACCAACCAACCAACCAACCAACCAACCAACCAACCAACCAACCAACCAGCTAACAAATAAACTAACTAACTAACAAAAGCTATCTAACAAAGCAACTCACTAGCTAGCTAGCTAAGTATAGTAACTATATATAATGCACTAGATAACACCATTCTATTAAATCATGTGATATCTCTCTGAATAATCTAGCCTATTTAACAATAAGAAACTACTACCAACAAACTATTTTAAATAAGTAACATATTAACTATATATATATAAGAATATATTCATTACTTATAGTTAGTTAATTAGTTAGTTGATTTAATTGGCTATAGTTGGCTGAAAAGTTAGATAGTTTTCAGAATAATTAACTATCTAACTAGCCAACTAACTATAAGTATCTATAACAAACTAATTAACTAACATGCAATTCATGCAAATAAACTAACAAACAAACTAACAAACAAACTAACAAATAAACTATAACTAACAAATAAACTAACTAACAAATACACTAACCAACTAACTAACTAACAAACTATATAACTATCTAACAAACATACAAACTGCATATCTAACAAACATACAAAGTAACTAACTGGCTATAGCTAAGTCAACTGTGATGATCTATAAATAACCATTCTATTAAATCATGTAATATCTCTCCGAATAATCTATAAACCTATTTAGCAATAAACTGAATAATTTACCAACAAACTATTTTAAATAAGTAACATATGAACTATCTACAAGAATATATTCACATTCATTTCTGTCCTTTAATATAATTCATTTATGTGCTTTAATTTAAGTTTCTTTGTATATAGTGGGAGTGGATGTCAATTGGGACTGACGCTCTATTTTCTCTTCCAGCCATATTGCTATTTTATATTTTCTGTACAACATATATATTTATTCTTTGATCAGGTCATTGTATGTATAAATCTAATTATAGCAAATTGCCAACAAACAATAAACGTATAGTAAGGTAGCTTGCCTTCAACAACATAATTGAATGGATGACTACCATACAGAACCTTAAATCCCTTTAATTGGTATTATAGTTTCCTAAAATCCTCATGGTGTAATTGACTAACTAGAAACGTTCTAGTTTCATAGGCTAGCTGTATTTTAAATCGTGCCGTGTAAGCAATTTTACAAGTATATGGTAGAAGTGCCTCACATAACACACAAATTAAAAATGAAAGTTTCAAACTGACCTTTATGCCTTTTGTTTTCCTAAATGTGAATCATACACATAATCACAAACATCACTTGGTCACATAATCAAGTTCCCGTGGTAAATATATTCAGCATTTTGTTTAAATGTGTTTTATCGATGCATAAAAGGAAGTTAACAGGGTAAGCTTCCGGGTTATTATATCAATGATATGTAAATAGTGGGTGTGTTAGACAGGCATATATGATTACTATAGTCACCAATCAACATTAAAGGCTTTTTTCCACTCATTGGCATTGCTTTAACACTCGCGTGCACTACATGAAATTTGAACTACAGGGTGTATCATAAAAAAGGAGACCTTTAGAAATTAATCTATTGTTGTTAAGCACAATATATTTTGCTCCTGGTAATTAAAAATTCAATTCAATTTTGTTTTCGCACTCTTGTGTTCAGCGTAATATAAGCACTCAAATTATAACAATAAGGTTGTAATTCAGTTCTAAAGGCCCCCTCCCCCTTTTTTTAAAACACCCTGTATATTCAACTTTCTTGGTGCACACGAGTCATACCAAAAGCATGGCAACTGGTTCCTTTTGGCCATGGTAATTACCGCTGACCAGGATCATTTCTGATCCCGCTACAGATTCCCCCCCCCCCCCCCAGCTTTTACTATTCATAGATTTTTGGAGTTTTTGCAGTGAATTGATGATTCCCCTTATTACGTTTTCGTAGCGCTTTGCATTGTGGTTATAGCGGTATCACTGATAAAGATAGCGGCCTCGAATGAAAATATTGAATGTTTTCGCAAATATTTTGCTGTTAGCTATCGCGCACCTGACCCTAGCTTTTTTTAAAAGTTCTTGCACGGGTCAGGAGAAAAAATAAGCCATCTTGAATATCAGTGATACCACTATAACCACAATGCAAAGCGCTACGAAAACGTAATAAAGGGAATCTTCTATTCTCGCTGTTTTTTATATTTTGACATATTTGTTCGACCAGTGACCATCATCTATTCACGAAGTACGTGTAAAAGTCGTAGACGTCTGCCAAAGACAACAAACCAATGCTAAAGCCTCACAAAATGTGGGCAAAGACGATATTTGAGCTATTAATATATAATATACACTTAAAACACTGTTAATATCATATGTATTTTTGGCATGAGAAATTGAGAATCTTTGTACATTATAATGAATATTTTAGCCACGAGTATTTAAAGTATTGTCGTAGAAAATACAGAAATTTTGCTATATTTAATTCATGTAGATCAGGGTTGAGATTTGACATGCTGGAATTTCATACTATTCTATGATTTGCTGAGTAAGTTGTATTTACAGGTGCAGGGTTGCCGGGGGAGGGGTGGCACTTTGCCCTGGGGCCCCAGCTCAAAAGGGGCGCCAAAAGTAACCAAGGCTCTTAAAAGTTCTTGATACAAGTTTGCTTAACTAAAAATATAAATACTTAGCTGCATTAGTGCTGGGTAATATATTTTTTTTAATTGATTTAATAATTACTGACTTTGTAACCAAAAGGTTAAATTACATCAGTATTACATAAATTTAAGAGAAGTTGAAAACTACATAATTATTACATATTTAAGAGTATATGATATTTACATATTGGTCTTAGATCATATCGAGATAAAATTGTGATCAGTGCTTCGTCATACTTTTGTGATGGGAGGATGATTCTCAATGCACGTTAAACTTTTTTAATTTTTTCAATATCTTCACATAAATATTGTTGGATATTGTAATGCCAAACCTGGCACGCGTACTCCGTACAATAACACTAGAAAAAATAGTGATCACCAAATCCATAGTATATCCATACTATTTCCATACGATATCCATAGTATGGAAATTGCAATTAGTATTAAAATTGGATTTCCATACTATTTCCAACAAAGATCCATACTATGTCCATAGTTAGGATTTTGAAAAATGTTCCAGTGTAAAGTCGGTTTTCCACTTCAACCGTATCGTAGCGTATTTCTTTGTTTCCTGAGCACTAGAGTGGAACTAATGACTTCGACACAAAAGAAAATGCTACGATACGTTCACAGAGTATACAGAGGCGGAACTCGCGGCGATTCCTTTGTTCTTTGTGTCCCCGTGCAATGTCATTTCCACGCACCACGCAAATTGCTCTGGCAAGTGTCATTCGTCGTGTTTTCAGTCAAAAGCATAGGAAAAACACCGTTCGAAAGTAGAAAAATAAATATTTTTGCGAAGTTGCTCAACCGATCTTCATTTTGGAACTCAAATTTGAAAGATAAATGGTAAGTGGTTATTTTTATGTAAAAATATATACGTTTATAGGCTAAATACAAAGAAAAAATAGTATAATACAAATTACAATCTCGGTGCTTGTGATGTTCTTGCCAAGAAGCAGATTCCCATTTCGCTAAATTAATGCGGGCCAAACGTATTGCTTTCCTGTCTTTTACATTAATAAGAAAGCATAGGTGCTGATTTGAAACACGTCCATCAGGTTCCATGCATGTAGCTTTGCGATTTGTGAGCAAAAATTAAATAATACTTTCTGTGCAACTAATAACCACATTCACAAATATATTCTCCAGCAAAGAAACGTTTCTTTACGGATTGTTAATCCGCATTTGAAGGCATGCTTATGCCTTCAAAGGTCAGAGGTCTTCACATGCAGAATAGCAGAGACTAGTGTCATTGACATCCTTTGTCACAAAATTATGATGGCATATTGGACAGCTATGTTGGATAAGGCACTTCCTTAATAAATAGCTTGACACATAAGTTCATGCAGACTAAGTTTTGTTCAATTTCATTTGTTTTGTAGTCGGTATCTTCAACTGCTTGGATTAGTGGTGGGCTTGTCTGATCATTTCCTGCAGATAAATCAGATTGGCTAGGGTGAAATGCAATCAAATAGGCATCAGAATCTTCAGCACAGCTGCCAATTGAAAGTGGTGTCAAAACATTATCTACAAATAATATGCAAAATGCTCTGGTGAACTGGATGGGACTAATTGGTTGTCCCAATCCCCCCCTGCTGCCTAATGAGGCCAAAGAAGTTCTCCAGAGGATCTTGTCATGAGAAACTCCAAGGAATGATGTTGGTTAAGGTCTTGAAATGTAAATACTACAGTGTAATAACTACTGACAGTGTAAATACTACAACAGTGAAATGTAAATACAACAGTGTAATTGGGGTTTAAAAATACAAAGTTTATTTTAATAAATGTTGTTTATTTTATGTCACATTTATATACATTTAAGAACTTAAATTATTCAAAAACTAAATAAATTAAATATGTGTTCAATGTCAATGAATATTGCTATATTCTAAATTTTTTATTCCAAAATAGGCAATAACTGTTTCCTTTATAGTTGACCCCACATGTTGTCATGAAAATTAATACTATATAAAAAAAGTAGCCAATGATCCATGTTTCCTCTTACAGTCTGCTTTATATGAAAAATTAAATACTACAGAATAATTGCATTGTTCCTTTTATTGATAAAGAGTTTCCCATTAAAAGAGAAAGTATTCCCAATTAATACTTTGCATGTTAAAGTGTGCTCACCCCTTGACGAGTAAAATCGTCTGGCGTTAGACAGAGTAAAATAATAAAGTAGGGTGCATCAGGGCACATGCAATGCAACTCAATGGGTTAACTGGATCGTCCGGTGTTAGACAGAATAATAAAGTTGGGTTAACAAGTAAAATTGTCTAGCTTTACAGTACATCTTCCAAGGGGGGCTGGATTTGGGGAGCAGGCCTACCACTTTGGGGGGGGGGCTGCTTTTTTGAACCTCAATTAAACTATTACAGTAATCCGACGGCCTGTCTATATGGTCTCCGGGTACTAGGGAAATCCTACCCCCCCCCCCGAGCCACCCTGGCAAGGCAAAACTATATTCATATCCTATTATAGCAACTGCCATGCAAGTGTTTGCATGGAAAGTTTTGAACTTGTCTTGCCTAGTGGGATGATCCAGGTAGTAAGGTCACTCCGTCAGGGGGTACAGCATCTCTATTACTCAAGATTAATTATATAAACATTGCCTGAGGCTATGTAAAATTGGTAGGCTTTCCAATATAAGATCAAATAGTCTCAGGTTTTCCCCAATCAGGTGAACAAATTAACATAGTTGTAAGATCTGCATCTGATTCATTGTAATGAACAATGTAGTTCAACAGGAATGATTGGCAATCTAGAAAAGCAAAATAAAAGATTATTAAACATGTACAGACTTGGCATGTTTGAGAAATTATTGACCTTTGAGAGCCAAAAAAAGGTTGTCATTGCACAATAACCAATGCACTAATCTAGGGGAATCACTATAAAGTATAATTTGACCAATCCCTCACCATTGGGTCAACATATAAGTTAAATAAAGTCTATATGAGAACTTTAGAGTACTGTGGCTCCATGTCCAAGTCCATCAGTCCATGTTGAATGTTGATGTTCATATTTTTCGTAATTGAATGCTGTTTATGCAATGTTTAAATTAACGACAACCCTTTCATACAACATTGCACTTCACAAAAATATATTGATAATTTCATATATATGAGCTAGAGAAAAAAAACTCACATATAAAGTTGCCAAGCTAGTTCCAGCTGGAGTTCAGGTCTACAGAATCGAATCCTCAGATTGCCAGAAATTCTCACTCCTTCGGGTGTCTTTTCTCATTTTCGCCGTTAAAAATGGTATTCGTTCAATTCCCTTTCGCTAAGAAGACGCAGTGTGCCATTTATTTGCAAAATTCGTGCAGAAAATGAAGATTGATCGGTCACTGCGCTTAAAATCGCCGTTTTACTGCCAAAATTTTGCATTTCCCTATCTTTTTTCCTGATAAAAAATGTGCATGACACTTGCCAGAGGGTTGCGCATGCGCATTAAAAAAGTGGGGACATGATTTGCCTCGAGTTCCGCCTCTGTATATCCTTACTCTGTGATACGGTTGAAGTGGAAAACCGGCTTAAAGCCTGTTTTCCACTTCGCCCGTACCGTACCGTAACGTAGCCAAAACGTTTTTAAATTTCAAAATTTCGTGAATGTTGATTGGTTAGTACTTCCGTAGTACGCCAAAAAGTTGACTTGCGACGAGCTTTTTATTTTGATACGCGAATACACCCGGAAGTACGTGGTTTATAAACCTCTTTTCAATCTGCGCATGCTCACCGATACGTTACGGTACGGGCGAAGTGGAAAACCGCCTTAAAGCTCGTTTTCCACTTCGCCCGTATCGTACCGGTGAGCATGCGCAGCCTGAAGATGTGTTTTCAAAGTTACGTAATTCTGGTTGATTCGCGTATCAAAATAAAACGTTCGTCGCAAGTCAACTTTTTAGCGTACTGCGGAAGTATTAACCAATCAGCATTCATTAAATTTTGAAATTAAAATTTGTTTTGATACGTGTCGGTACGGTACGCTTGAAGCGGAAAACGACCTTAATACATGCAGGGCGTGTTTTACAGCGCCCTGATGCATGGTAAAACAACGCTTCGTCCGTTTCACAACGATTTCAACCAATCGCCATTCCCCTAGACCGCGAGTAGTGCCTCCTTTACGCGGGTTTAGCTTTCCAGGCGTACGAGGGGAAAGGAGCGACTGCCGACAACACATCCAGAAACGAATACGCCCACTTTTCGCTCTTGTCTAGTTAGCTCCGCCTTTGCATAAACATTACCTATATCCAGTTAAATCTATCCAATAGGAACCGTTAATTTAAAGGGATATGGCAATATAAATTATGTCTATCTTATTTGAAAGAACATTTAAAATGATATATAAACTTCCTTTACAATTATTCCGTATCTTGCTTGGTTTTCAAAATAAATCGACTTATTTTTATCAAAAGCAGCGTGCATTCCGCCATCTTGGATATGCATTCGATATGCATACGTCACAAGTAGGATAAAAAGCGAAATTTTTATCTTGCAAACCACATGTTATTACACGGCCTGTAGGCCAAGTGTCTTAAATCCTTCTTTTTCAGGTTTTTTTCCGACGAGAACATCGTCCTCTCGGAAGTTAAATTGCGGGGTTCCACAGGGTTCAAACCTTGGCCCTCTTTTATTTTTTATAGATCTCAATGATCTTCCAAACTGTCTGGAAAATTCACATGCCGCAATGTATGCTGACGATACAAATATAACTGTTGGTTCTGATAGTCTTAATAATTTGGACTGAGAAACCCTCAATCATAAAATGAGCAATATTCATCAATGGTTCGCCTCAAACAAATTAACATTAAACGTTGAAAAAACAGAGTATATGGTTATTGGAACTCACAAAAGATTGAGTAGATTTTCGCAATATACTACAGTGTCCATTGATGGTAACGTAATTAAACAAGTAAACTCAAAGAAAACTTTAGGCGTTATAATTGATGAAAATTTATGCTAGGATAAGCAAATTGAGAACATCAGTAAAAAAGTTTCAAAAGGCGTTGGCATGTTACGCCGAGTTAAGGTTACAGGACACCCTTTTTGGCGTTTTGCGGAAAATCGCTACTGCGCGCTCAAAATCAGTCCGATTTTCATCAAATTTTCACCAAATGTTAGCCAGTGCATGCAAAAATATGGTAAGGTTGTAAACTTGACAAACAATAAAATAATGTAAGAATTATTCAGGAAAATCTTAAATCACGGCACCTTTACGCTTTTGAGTTGTGTTTCTGCTGGTTTTACGATATATTTATGAAAATATCATTTTTATACAGTAAAATAGTTGTTCTAAAAAAGTGTGTTCGGAAATTTTTGTTTATTTCGCCATTCCGCTGATATGGCGATTTCTTTGACGACTGCAGCAATATATTTCCGAATCGTTTGAATGAATTGCTCCTTATTATTAAAATATCCAAAATTAGAACAAAGCCGAACACAATTTTGCAACTGACGTCTTTAACTATGACCTGTGAAAATTTGAAAAAAATTCGTTAAAATCCGCAGGAGGATAACTCGTTCGAAAATCAGTAATTGCCGTAAAATGTTTCGGGAGAAAATTGAATTTGAATATTACATTTTCTATGTTTTTCTTATTGCAGCAAAATGTATTTTATTAAATAACACTGTGCGAGTTTTCAACATTTTTCGCTCAAACTTTGTCAGATGTAGGACTAGTCTAATGCTTTCATGGAAACCAATAACAAAATTTTAGGCAAAATTAACACTCAAAGGTGTTCTGCAACCTTAAACCATTTGTTTCAATTGGAACTCTTACCATCTCTATCAAGCTTTAGTTCAACCACATTTTGATTACTGTTCAATGGTTTGGAGTAACTGTGGCAAAACCTTAAAAGGAATGTTACAGAGACTCCAAAACCGATCGGCAAGGGTTAAGTCATATAGAATAGTATGAAATTCCAGCATGTCAAATTTCAACCCTGATCTACCTGAATTAAATATAGCAAAATTTCTGTATTTTCTACGACAATACTTTAAATACTCGTGGCTAAAATATTCATTATATTTCATTACATTTTGAGTAAACTGAATTGGAAAACGCTAGAAGAAAGGCGAAATGAGCAGCAATTGGTTGATCAGTCACCGTGTTTAAAGATGTTTTTAATAATAATAGTAAAAACAAGTTTACCCTGCTTGTGACGTCGTCAAAAATTCAGTTAATTAGGACAATTATAATCCAAAGATGGCGGACTGCACACTGTTTTTGGTCGAAAGATTTCTAAAACCAAGCAAGGTACGAAAAAGTTGTAAAGGGTCTTCATATATAACTTTAAAGGTTCTTTCAAATGAGACAAAGTTAATTTTTATTGCCATATCCCTTTAAGCCTGTCATGTTTATTTATAAAATCAACATTCAGTCTGGAAATTATTTATAGCACAATTACTACATATCAGATTTGATTGACAGGCATATCGATTTTGACCAACGGGAATTTTGCGTTGTGTGGGCAACGCGTATTTCGTTTCTTGACGTGTTGTCGGCAGTCCCTCCTTTCTCCTGAGGGACTGCTTTCTCCTGAGGGACTGCTCTTCATGAAACTGAAGTCCTAACAAAAACATAATTTAGCCGTCCTTTTGGGCCCATTGCTCGCTTATTTATCATGAAATCGCTTCACTAGAACATTTTTAATAATGTCTATGGGAAACTTTGTAATTTTTTGAACTAAAAATTTATGGTTTTGAGGTGTTTATTTTATAAAATAGCACGCGCGACAAAATGGCACTAATGTGGTTTCTGATGTCTGACAAACAACCAAAGATGAAAGTTCTTATTTCACCCTTTTATAGCTATGTGGAATACCTGAATATTAGGTTATCTTTTTCATGTGAGCATATAGATAACATTTCTACACAATAGTCCTTATGAAGGCTTATTTCAAACTAAAAAAAGCGATTGTTTTTCAGAGCCAGACTTCAAAAGAGAACGTGTGTCTGACAAACCGTTGCTTTTCCAACAAAAACATGAGAAAATTGAGCTAAAAGTCTTATCTGATGTATGTTTAAAATGTTTTTCTTTTTATGGTGTTTTTCAGTGCTTTTGTCACCACAATATGCCTTTGAAAATGTCGGCTGTCATTGTCTGTGTTAAAAACACCTCAGAAAATTTCTATTTTCTCACCTTCCCATCCTTGGTTTATATTGAAAATAAATAGATTCTAGTACCATATGTCCTTTTAAATATATTTGAAGTAATTAAGAACTTGAAAGATGTACAAGCACTGTGTTCTGGCTTGCACACTTTGTTGAATTTGAACACTTAGTTACTGTTCTAAATTTCATGTTGTAAACATCTTGCCCCAAAAAAGCAAAGGAGTATATTTTATAATTTTTGATCATTTTCTAATTCATATCCCAATAGATGAAAATTGGTTATAATATAGATATGTACTAATTTAGTAAATGATTTTTTTTTTGGTTTTTGTTGCATGCCATTATGGCATGCAACTTTCATATAGCTCTAAATTTCGTGTCGTCGTGAGCGGTGAGGGGTGAGCGGTGGTGAGCGTGGCATATAGTAAAACGCGGACTGGACTGGACTGGTAAAACGCGGACTGGACTCTATTAGTAAAACGCGGACTGGACTCTATTAGTAAAACGCGGACTGGACTCTATTAGTAAAACGCGGACTGGACTCTATTAGTAAAACGCGGACTGGACTCTATAAGTAAAACGCGGACTGGACCACAATTTCGCGCCAAAATTTGACCAAAATGGAACAAAATGGCAGCGAGCTTTAAAATCCCAACAAGTCTGAAAAGAAAGGCAAAAAAGGATCCAGAGTTACCAAAGTTTGAGTGGAAACTTTTCGAAAAAGAAAATAAGTTGGGTTGCGGTACGGTTGGGGCCGTATACCTAGCAAAATACAAAGGAAAGACCAGAAAAAGTGGTTGCCAAAAACAATAATGTGGAGTCCATTGACTCGAAATCCTGTTTCGAGAAAGAAGCCTCACTGTTGAACAGTACAAAAGGCCACAGGAACATAATCCGGTTCCTTGAATTTTCAATAATGATGGAGTATTCTTGCTTCGATTTTCGCCCGTTTGGAGTTGCAAAAAGTCTTTGCACTCCAGAAGATTTTGTCCATTTCGTAGACGAGTTTGACTTTGCCTCGTTCGCAGACTTCACGCCAACATGTGCCAAAGATGTTGTCGAAGGTTTGAAATATTTGCACAGCAAGAATATCGTTATCATTCAATAAATATTATGAATTAAGATAATCACTTTGCACTACTTAATTTTCATTCAGTGCATGCTTTTTCAAGTATATGATGTATCACATACTCTCGGGGAAGCCAGCCAAATATTCTTGTTGTGCAAATATTTCAAACCTGCGACAATATCTTTGGCACATGTTGGCACCAAGTCTGCGAAGGAGTCAAAGTCGTCGTCTACGAAATGGACAAAATCTTCTGGAGTGCAAAGACTTTTTGCAACTCCAAACGGGCGAAAATCGAAGCAAGAATACTCCATCATTATTGAAAATTCAAGGAACCGGATTATGTTCCTGTGGCCTTTTGTACTGTTCAACAGTGAGGCTTCTTTCTCGAAACAGGATTTCGAGTCAATGGACTCGACATTATTGTTTTTGGCAACCACTTTTTCTGGTCTTTCCTTTGTATTTTGCTAGGTATACGGACCCAAACGTACCGTAACCCAACTTATTTTCTTTTTCGAAAAGTTTCCACTCAAACTTTGGTAACTCTGGATCCTTTTTTGCCTTTCTTTTCAGACTTGTTGGGATTTTAAAGCTCGCTGCCATTTTGTTCCATTTTGGTCAAATTTTGGCGCGAAATTGTGGTCCAGTCCGCGTTTTACTAATAGAGTCCAGTCCGCGTTTTACTAATAGAGTCCAGTCAGCGTTTTACTAATAGAGTCCAGTCCGCGTTTTACTAATAGAGTCCAGTCCGCGCTTTACTAACAGAGTCCACGAGATCGAGTCCGCGTTTTACTAATAGAGTCCAGTCCGCGTTTTACTAACAGAGTCCAGTCCGCGTTTACTAATAGAGTCCAGTCCGCGTTTTACTAATCTGAGTCCAGTCCGCGTTTTACCAGTCCAGTCCAGTCCGCGTTTTACTATATGCCGGTGAGCGTACGGGTCACGTGGCAAATTCGTAAATTACGACAATTACCGAGATTTTCCGACGAGCATTTTCACACTCATGAGTCATGTGCTTTCGTCGAGGAAAGGCAAAGAAAAATGTTTGATTGTTCGCGGAAAATTTACATAATTGAGCGCCTTATATCAAGGTAGGTAAAGCTTTGCTGGTTTTAATTTACCTTATATTCTGTTATTTGTTGTGATTTTGGAGCAGTTGTGCTCGCAATGAATGATTATTTATCAGGCGTTTATAGACCGTCGTCTGCCACTTGCTATCTTGCACTTCCGTTGCACATATCGCAAGACTGAACGGCTTCGTTCTTAAAATATGTATTTTCACCTTGTATATCTTTTACAGCAAACCCCCCGGAAATAACCTTGCACAATTTGAAGAATATTGCCCTTAAAATAAATGATTTTTCCTTGTCGTTTGGCAGCCATTTTGAATCTCATTTTTGCTCTGTCAGCAAAAAGTTAGTTGTTGCCATGGTTATAGCCTCAAAATGGCGGGCGATGTTGATATTGAAAATATCGAATTTCACTCATGTTTAATTCATTTTGAAGATGTAAGACAATCCACATCGTTGATTTCACAAACAAGATTAAACAAGGTGATATCTTGTCGTAAAAGATGGATTAATTTAGAAGGAGATAAGGCTTCTTTGTGCAGAAAAAGTCATGAACTCTTTTCAGATGAGCACTTATTCGCACGAGAGAAGTGGTATATGCACGAAAATTGTTATAAGCGAATTTGTGACGAAAATAAGATCAAGAAAGCCGAAGAAAAATTTAGTTCAACACAACTAGAAGCATCTAATGATCAACGGCAACGAATATCTACGCGACATAAGACGTCATGCCACAATGCTGCAAATCAGGCAAGAAATCAATATGTATTGCCAGTCCAATGTATCATTTGTGAGAAGGATACTGACCAGTTTGTAATGGTGAGTATTTTGAAACTTATACATTATTTCTATATCAGCCTTTGACGTTTATAGACACCACGTACACACAGAGTGAGAAAGGGTATTTCAAAATAATATGGTACACTGTATTCCTAAAATTGTGATACTTTTGGAACTCATGTCATGTGGGACTCATAATGATGTTGACCGGCCATTTTGACTGGCGATTTACTGGCCGTTATTTTATGAACAAATACACAAATTTATTAATATATTTATATAAAAATTTCAAACATATATTATTTTCCTTTCAGAAATCTGGAAAACGAAAGAGAATGTCTTTAATACTATGCGAGACAGAAAATGCAGGAATGCTCCGTGAAGCTGCAACAGCTAAAAAGGATGAAAAAATTCTTCGTAAAATACGTGATAAAGATTGTGTGGCGATAGAGGTACGTTATCATCAGAAGTGTTACAAAAATTACACCAACTTTCTCTATAGACAACAAAAGTGCATTGAGACAGAATCGCCTCTTCTTTATGCTGTTGGCTTTGAGAAATTTTGCCAAGATGTAAACAGAAAGTGAAATTGTTTACTCTGAAAGTCTTTCAGCTGGAGATTTAGTGAATGATCAAATGTCAAGTAATTTTGATTGGGATGGTGATCATAGCGAGAGTGATAGTGAAATGGAATGGGAAGATGACAATGTCACTGAGAATAAAAAATCAAGTAACGACCCATGTTCTAATGATCTTCAAATTCTATTTAATGCTTCAATGATCATCAAGAATAAGATAAAGAGCAAACCAGTATTTGAAACCCCATGGCCACCTCTTGCTGCAGATATCACAAATGAAAATGCAGAAAAAGTTGTCGATCCTGCTCTCTTTAATGTTCTTGCTTGGATTTGTGGATTTTCTGATGATCCTCAGCTTAATAGTTATGTCACTGTAACAGACAACCAGCATTCGAAACTCATGGCAGTAGCACAAGATCTTCTGTTTGTTGCTTCCCATGGACAAAATCCAACACCAAAGAGCATTGCATTAGCTATGGCAATGAGACAACTTACTGGTTCCTCAAATGTCTTGAAATTACTAAACCAATTTGGACATTGCATGTCACATGAGTATGTTCTGCGTCATGAGACTGCCTTGGCACAAGTCAATGTATCCAGTGAAGGTACTTTACCACCTGGCTTTTGCAAAGATAAATTTACAACTCTTGCTTGGGATAATGACGACTTTTGCGAGGAGACAAAAACTGGAAAAGGAACGACTCATGTTACTGGTGGCATTATTATTCAGCGACAAAGTTGCGAAGTTGAAGAAGAATCGGTAAGAGTAAGTATTCCAAGGTCATCATCAATGGAATATGTTCCAGATGAAATAACACCGTATGCGCTGGGAAAGCGAGTTACAGTAAACCTTAAGGATGCTCTTCAAGAAGTTTCAGTTGATGAGTATGTTTATGTGCCAACACAGAAAGCAGCGAATGCACTTGATTTTTCATTTGTTCTTTGCAGAAATCTTCAAAATGAGTGCCTTTTTCCAAACTGGACAGGTTTTAACATATTGCTTCAGTCCACAGAAATCCCAATTTTGTCAAAGATAGGATATTTGCCGATAATAGATGCACCTCCGACCGAAATGTCAACAATCAACGCTATAATGAAAAAGAGCACAGAAATTGCAAACAAGTTATGTATTCACTATGTCTGCCTGGTGTTTGACGAATCTATTTACGCCAAAATTCAAGAAGTGCGA